CTGCTGCTCCAGTGACCTATGTTTATAACCAAATCTCAGTGAAACACAGACCTAGATTACCTTGCTGCTTTCACAGCAATTTATTTTGACTTTACCTGACCCTCAGATAATGGCTTTCAGTCCTCAAATCATGTTGCACGCACACATCATCCTATCAATTAGGAACTAGAATGCTATTTGGAAGGCACTTAAGGTGGAAAGAGCGTAAGAAGAGTCAAATGAAAAGTCCATCTTGGCCATTTCCTTGTAGCCTGCCTCCAGCAATGGCCAGTAGCACAGTGCCAAAGCAGGGCAAGCATATACTGATAGTTATCCAGCCTTTTTTCATCATCCAGTGATACATGTTTCAGTGACTTTCCATCATAGTGCAAATGAGGAAAGTGCTTTCTTTTTTCAGGTGAAAGACTGCAAACATAGGCTCAGGATGGAGCCACACAGTCACCTTGTAACAGCTGTTTCAGTTTTAACACTTTATTGCCTGTTAGTCCTTACAGCCTGTATACCACCCTGCCTATAACTGAGCCATTTTGAGGAACTGTGTGACTGCTTCAAACTCACTGTATCACCGACTTAGGCATTCACAGGGATTGAGGACCATGGATCTAGTTGTTTAGGAGATAGTCACAGCTCTTTAAAATGGTACCACAATCAACTGTTTGCTTTTGTTTCTCTAACAGCCTTCAGCAAAAGGATGAATATGTCCGTGCCTCAGCCATTCCAGAGAAAGTCAAGTCTCTTGGCTCAAATCTGTGTTTAATGGTGATTTAAATTAGTTACTGGATTCTGTATTGGATCAGCTGAGGCTCAGGTATACATGTCTTTTGTGCAGACAGTAATCTCTGGTAGATGAGCAGGGGGCAGTGAGGGTGCTAAACATCTTAAAGCACTGCAGCACAATTCAGTAGAGCTCTTCAGTCAAAGCCCTTACCTTATGAGAGTTCATCCCATGTCAGGGTGATATGAAGAGTGCACGTGCACCTTGCTGCAGTCATTCAGTTGTGGTTAGAGTGATCTTTCATTGAGGTACAGAAACAAACAGTTGGTGGACAATACTATCTTCAACTGCTGCAGCTGTTTTGAAATTCATCATGTAATCATGCTATCACTTGTTACAAAAAAGCAGAGAAGTCTGGCATACCTTTGGCCTTTTACAGTGTTGACTGTAAAATACATTGCAAACATGAAAATACAGGGGCATGTTCAGATAATTTTACACACGTGCCTTTGGCGTTTTTTGATGTTTGGGGTTTTTTTGTTAACAAACCAGGCGGCAGTCAGCACTGCTTTCTTAATTTCTGTCTTCTGCATTACTCTACTTATATGCCACCCAAGAACATGCTGTTAACCGACAGGGTCCCAAAACGACAGGATCAGAATTGCAGATACAATTATAAAATTTGTTTCTGTTAAATACGTTGCTTTGTCATGTCAACATTGCAGAAATACTAGCAATAAGTGCCGTTATCCCTTGCATAAATAGAAGAAAATAACAATTGCATTCATATTGGTCTTAATTGCCATTACCTGATTCATAAAGAAAATTAACAACTAATTATACTGCATGGATTTGAGCATGTTTAGGAGCTTACGGTGTTGGAAAATCCTAGGTCCACACAGTCAATGACAAAATCCCTGACAGTGGCTTCAGGGGAGACACGGGAGAGGGAGAAGCCCTGTCTACACGCAGTACGGACTGTTTCCTCCCCCCCACAAATCTTACTTGGAAACTCAATTTGCAAATAAATGCAACTCAAGGGCATATTGTAGTGAAAGTATCAGTAAGAATGAGAACAGCATAGAAGAACCATCATATGTGGAAATATATTCTTAGGAGTAGAAGATGGTTTGTGGTTTGTTACTTACTTTTTTTTTTTTCCCCCACAATTTCCTGATTTCTCTGTTTAGCCAACAGTGACCATACGACATGGCCATTTTTTGCATTTCCACTCAAAAGATTGCAAAAGTTATGCTTTGTATGCAGAATTCTGCACTGAGAAGTGTGCCAGCAACAGAAATCTTTTTACTTTAGCAACATATTGTGAACAAGCAAATATTATGATAAACAGAAAAGGAAGGATGCCAGGAAATGTGAGAAAATGCAAAGCAAAACAGATGAAATGTGTGCTTATTTCCTGATGTGAGTTTGTTTGTTACATATACCAAAGAAAATCAAGCTCCCAAAGCAATTTAGAACCCCAAGCCTTCTTTCTCCTCTTAGAATTGTAAGAGTGCAGTTGCAAGACCTATATCTATTTTACTAAAATTATTTCTTACTATGGTGTTCTATTTGATCTCATTAGCCATAAGTCATAATTGTCACATAAAGCAATAAAGCACAGCAAAACCAGAACAACAGCAAAATCTTGCACTGTGTTACCCCTTATTACTAACATGTACTGACTCTCTTCCAATTGTTAGTTTAAGAATGTACACACTCAAAATTCATCTTTCTTCAGTCAACTTCATAACAGTTAAAAAAATAAAAAGCATTGGCATTCATGCACTTAAAAAAAGTCCTATTAATGAGTTTTGCATCAAAATTCAATTTGTTTGAACAATGATGTGCTTGGTTTTCATTTGTAGACATCACGGGATCTGGCATGCTTCATTCAGTTTGAGAATATGAACGTTTATTACGGTTCTCAACACAAAGTGAAATATAAGGCACCTACAGATCACTGCTTTGTCTTAAAGGTAATGTACAAGAAAAATAAATTCTGAAAATATCATACACAGTTTCTTTTATGTGTAAACGTGTTTAAGTTTGAAGCTCCAGGGACCCTGGTGAGATAGAATACCTCCTTAAAATCATGTCTGTTTTCTTCTTCGCTTCTTTGTTGATCAGCAATGTACCTTTAGAACCTTAAAATTAAGGGCTGATAGTCCTATGATATATGTCCACACTACATCTATAAAGTTGTCTTCAAAACAAGGCTGAATATGTTTCCAGTGACTGACTGTCCAAATGATGGGACACATCTGGACAAATGGCACACAAGGCAGATGTATGATGAGAAGACTGGCAGTTCCTAATGTTGAATTTATGAGCACTATGGACTATATACTAAAAAGTACATCTACTTTTTATTTACAGTGTAGTGTCATACCTCTTGAGTGGTTTGTTGAACTGAGATGCACAATCTTGCAGGAATAGACATCTCGGCGTATTTTATTGCACAGCTATTTGTGGCAGGACAGCAAGACATTGTTCATGAAGTCATGAAAATCAGTGCTTGCTGTTGAAGTAACTATCTCATCGCTGCGTCTCCATGTAATAGCACTGCAAATAGGTTGGGAATTCTGCATTCCTCTCAAGAAAAGAAAAGCAGCCCATGTTTTTCACATAGTTCAGATAACAGAAATGAAGCTTTGAGGTTGCAGTAATTAGGCCTTGCTTGCTATCTGTCATTAATAAGGATTTTAGAATACAGTGGGATTCCTGTGTACAAGACAGAATATAATCTTGTTGCTGCTTCTCTATTTAAGGCCTGCAGTGCAAACAAGAGATTAGAAAAAACAGTACCTTGCCATCTCAGAAAAAAAGAACAGGAACATTCACATCAGAGATCACTTATAATACCACATTTCTGGCTGTAGCTGCAGCTTACAGCGCTTTTTTGTTCAGTTTCAAAATGTCTGCTAGCCTAATTTACACATGGCCAAGCAGAAGTGGTTTATAGACCCAGACTTATTTTCTGAAGCAGATGTATCTAATTAACACAGATGAGCAGTTTTAATACTATAGTTCCCCACAAAATGCTCTGCAAAAACCACTTTATCCTTTGTTATAAAACTTCTGAAGTTAACAGGTAAGCATTATTTCTGAAAAATACAACTTCTAATAAAAAAAAAAGGCAAAGGGGAGCTAATTTAAAGAAAAAAAGGGGAAATTGATTTTCTAAACCAATGACTGGTCAAAGAACTATCTGACTAATTTAGTAACAGTTATTCACATTCTGTTTAGATGAAAGTAAAAGCATGATTTTTAAAGTGTATGAAGCCATATGCTTAACTGTTCACAATGATTAGGAAAACTTTCTGGACTTACTACCATATTTTGTGAAAAGAGGTATGTTATAAATAAGAACTTACACAAAAAACAGTCACAACTTGACTAAAATACTTGCTTTATTGGATGTGTGATGTTAGCACTGTACCCTCAACGTGAAATGTGAAGAACAAGATCGGAAGCTCACTAGGGAAAGCTTCATGTGTAATGGGCTTATAAACGCATGAAACCTTCTTAGCAAAACTGTTTGCTCTGATGCTTCTAAAATGTGTTTGTGGTATACTGGAATAAACATCATATTGATAAGATCGTTATATCCAAGCAACACTACTTAGTGATGAATAGATTACATTACAGTGATTGTTCTTAATTTTAATTCCCACAAATGAGCATTTGGTAGATTCCTTACTGGCTCAGTTTCAGAATTGGCTGCTTTGAACAGCTGTCTCTTGCAGTGGCTGGAGTTGGTCAGGAAGTATGGGCAAGTATTGATATCTTCAAATCTTCTGTTGTTTCAAAAGTGGAAGCCACCCACTTAGGGTGGCTTTGTGAGGGTGATGCAATGGAGAATTTCATATTTGTTACAATTCCTGTACATTAATTTGAATTCTATGTATACCTTTTTGAAGGCATGCAGCTGAAATGAGTTCTGTCATATCCTTCTTTTACCTTTGGAGGTTGGAGCTGCGGATGTAATCTTGAGATTTGTGGGCTGAGGGAAAGAACAAAGTTAAATGTTGGTGTCTCTGATTGGGTGCTTGGTGACACAGAAGTGTGTGGACAGGAACACAGAGGGATTTATTACACGTAGTCATATTTTGTTCCTGTCTGTTTTAATATGGAAGTCTCCCAGAAGAAAATATATCTCTTGCTGGGAGACACTTGTCCTGAGATGTCAAAGGAAAACAAACCATCATCCTTGAGATATTTCTCATCCTGCAATATTTAGAGAATAGAGTCCTCAAGATGAAATGACAGTACTTTTGCAGACAGGTGCAGTGAGCAAAAGGCAATGGATTTAGCAGGTAAACATTTGTCTTTATTATACTGGCAACCTAGTAATTTTGAAGGAATTTGGATGCCCAGCTCGGTCCAAGCCAGATGGAAATTTTTCCACAGCCAGGGCTGCACTGCTGTGTCTTCACAGCTCTTCCATCCCCCTGTGTGTGCCTTGGGACAGTGCGCACTGCAGAGGTTCTCTTTCAGTTACTTGTTTGTGTTGGCTGCAGAAGATTATCTATCTTTAAAGCAAACGCGGGAAAGTAATTGGAAGAGTAGCAGCCATACATAGCCCGTACTAGCCGTTCACTGAGGATGGCTGTAAATCAAAGGAGATTTTCACATTTTGGAAAATAGGTTAGTCTGCAGCCCTTATTAGCTCCAGCAAGCTGTAATGCCACTTGGAAAGTTTTGAATAATGCATACCACTACATTTTTTTAAAGAATTGTTGCTTTCTGAGGATCCCCTTAGGAAGTGGTGTGTCAAAACAGTGAGCAGTCATCAGCCAAGTTACTTGCTCTGCTGTGTTTCAAACTTAACAAAAGAAACTGCCTAACTCAAAGGCAAGAGACCAACTTATACTTTATAGTGCAGGAGAAATGCAAGGACTTAGCAGCTTCAGCAGTATCTTGCTTCTGTGCTAGGTGGGAAATTCTGCTGAATTCAAAACCAGGCATAATTTCCCAGCTTTGAGCATTGAGTTGAAAAAATACCATATTTATTTCTGTCTGGTTAAGCTAATTGGCATCCTTACTTCAAGAACAGGGGAAATGCCCTTTGTTCATTCAAATGGCAGCAAATGGCCAGTGAGGTGGGCTGATTTGGAGTTGAATATGGCCTCATGCTCGAAGGAAGCTGTGCTGGTTTTGGCTGGGGTAGAGTTAATTTTTTTCATAGTAGCTAGTATGGGGCTATGTTTTGGATTTGTGCTGGAAACAGTGTTGATAATATAGAGATGTTTTAGTTACTGCTGACCAGTGCTTACACAGAGGCCTTTTCTACTTCTCACCCCACCCCACCAGCGAGTAGGCTGGGGGTGCACAAGAAGTTGGGAGGGGACACAGCTGGCACAGCTGACCCCAACTGACCAAAGGGATAGTCCATACCATATGACATCATGCTCAGCATATAAGGGGCTGGGGGAAGAAGAAGGAAGGGGGGAATGTTCAGAGTGATGTTGTTTGTCTTCCCAAGTAACCGTTACGCATGATGGCGCCCTGCTTTCCTGGAGATGGCTGAACACCTGCCTGCCCATGGGAAGTGGTGAATGAATTCCTGGTTTTGCTTTGCTTGTGCCCTTCTTTTCCTCCAGTCTCCTTTGAATGATGAGCCTTCTAAATAAATAACTAGGCTAAAACCAGTAACATTTGTACCTGCCTTCAGAGGTCCTGTCTCATATTAGCAGAGAGAAAAGATAAAACATTTCTTTTTGCCTCCCTCCAACTGTGGTCATCTTTATGGTGTGTCTTTATGGAGGGAAGAGCCCTCGAGAGATACAAGAATGAGCAGAGCATCCCTGCCATTTTGGCATCTATGTGCCAGGCATCACCAAGAACTTATGGGAAAGAGGAAACCTTATAACTAATGCTAATCACAACACTGGTGACTTGGCTTTAGCTAGAACAATGAGATTACTCAGGTTGTCTGACACTGCCCTGAACTATGTGGGCTTTTACCTCAAAGTCTTAATGACATTTCTTTGAATGTTGCTTCACCTTGATCTCTCTCAATGGGATGCAGGCTTTTTCTCCAGTTTCTTCTCTTAGACTACAGGCAAGCGAGGGGCTCACAGAGACAGTGAGCCTTTGGTCGTAGTGCCTGTCCCAGCTAACACGCATCCAGTCACTGGGAGCTGGCAGCTTCCTCTGTCCTGTTTCTTTTTTAATCTAGCCATTTAATTTCAACTTCAGTGGTCATATCTAGGTTGCTTAGCTGATGCTGGCTTGGGTACTGGTGTGAGTGTAGCAACAAGAAGATCATGCACACCATGGGCAGGTTGCTTTGATACTTTGCCAGAAGCTGGGGTAGGTTTTTGCAGCCTGTAGTATTGGAGCTGCACTTAGACTAGCTATTTTAAACTCGCTCAAATATAAATGTTCTTGTCTGCAGGTCCATCCTGTAGGACATGGAGAAGCATGATGTGTTGTGAGTGCTCCTTGCCTACCATTTCTTTCCATTATATCAGCACCCCATTGTATATACTGTAGCTCCAAACAAAAATGACGTGTTTTTTGCTTATTTGTTAACCGTCAAGACACTGAGGAGATAATGGGGAAAAGGGTTGTGTGCCAGAAGCAATTCAAAAGCACATCACAGTGTCTACCAGCAAAAGAGAGCGCACATTGCTGAGCTTATTCAGGAGTTTCCTTTCAGGATGATTCAGGAGACAACTGCAGTAACTGAACAAAGCAGCTGCTTCCTCATATCAGCTCCTCTGGGGCAACAGAAAGCCCAGCTGGGACCAACTGAAAAGAGCACAGCTGCCTGGTTGGTGTCAGACAACAGGGTCACCTTTAACAGTCCCTGTGCAGCAAACCAAGACCGATGTGGCTGGGTCCTGAGGATGAGCATGCAGCCTGGCACAGAGGCTGCAATGGAGCTGGTTTTCCAGAATCCTTAGGCTTTGGGGCAACTATAAAGCTTGAAGAACTGTTTTATTTCCCAGTAGCTACTGGTCTGAGCTGA